CTCTCTCTCCTCTCTTCTCTCACCTCTCCCCTCTCTTCTGTCTCCTCTCCCCTCTCTCTCTCCCATCTCCTCTCACTTCTCTCTTCTCCTCTCCTCTCTCCCCTCTTCTCTCTCCTCTCTTCTCTCACCTCTCCCCTCTCTTCTGTCTCCTCTCCCCTCTCTCTCTCCCATCTCCTCTCACTTCTCTCTTCTCCTCTCCTCTCTCCTCTCTTCTCTCTCTCTCTCTCCTCTCTCTCCTCTCTTCTCTCACCTCTCCCCTCTCTTCTGTCTCCTCTCCCCTCTCTCTCTCCCATCTCCTCTCACTTCTCTCTTCTCCTCTCCTCTCTCCCCTCTTCTCTCTCCTCTCTCTCCTCTCTCTCCTCTCTTCTCTCTCCTCTCCCCTCTCTTCTGTCTCCTCTCCCATCTCCTCTCACTTCTCTCTTCTCCTCTCCTCTCTCCTCTCTTCTCTCTCCTCTCTCTCCTCTCTTCTCTCTCCTCTCCCCTCTCTTCTGTCTCCTCTCCCCTCTCTCTCCCATCTCCTCTCACTTCTCTCTTCTCTCTCCTCTCTCTCTCCCATCTCCCCTCCCTCCTCTCTTCTCCCCTCTCTCTGCTCTCCCCTTTCCTCTCTCCTCTTACCTCTCCCCCCTCCCTCCTCTCTCCTCTCTGATGGAGAAGCGGCGCTAATCAGGTCAGGTGACGAACCCTGAGTGGGAGTTCAGGGAATGTGTGTTGATTTTGTTGTTGTCCAGACTTGATCTCGAAGTTTTGATTCCATAATTATGGTGTGTGTGTGTGTGTGTGTGTGTGTGTGTGTGTGTAATGGCAGCATATCGCCACTAGAGGCCAGTCTTGCTACATGCTCCACTGAACCCACAATCCCAGTTCCTGCAGCTGGTCCAGTCCCTCTCCTCTGATCTGTATTTAAGTTTCTACACATTTCAGAGTAAATAAAGATGGAGCAGATTCTCTCAAACGTTAAAAACACACCCAACGGTTTCAGCCTCGTCCTCGCTGTTGTGCAGGAGAGGTTTCGCAGGTCCTTCCTCCCTGCTGCTGTCAGGCTGTACAACGAGAATGTATAACAATAACTGCTGAGTCTGTACAAGTGTCACTGATAAGAATTCACCATGTTACTGCAGTAACTTTGTCACTCGTCACTTTGCCTGTTATTATTATTACTAATGATTATTCTGCTCATATTCTCCGCTGCCAAAGAACAATATAGACATCTGTTTATTTTATTTTATTCTTGATCTTATTTTGATTATATAACCCTCGATTTTTCACCTTAGTTTTTCTTTTGAGACCCTTGATTCTCTGTATCGTCCTGGAGATTAAAGAATCAAAAAACACTTAAACAAAAGTCCTGATAAAATTCACAATAAAAAGGTATGATTTTAGAACAGTTAGTTTGACCCTGGACATTTATAGGGGATGTCATATGCCAGACAAAGGTGCTAAGCAGGGCAGGACTTGGTTAGTATTGTGATGGGGGACCTTTGGGAAGAATTGGTGCGACAGTGGGGCGGCTGGTTGTACAGTGCTTGTTGTGTCCTTAGGCAAGACACTTCCCTATAATTTTGATTCTTGTGTGTGTGTGTGTGTGTACAAGTTGATCTGTGGTCTGTGTGGAGCCTGCAGGGCCTTCAATGGGCCACGTTTACATTGTTGTCTCTGGTCTCTCTGGTCTCTCTCTGGTCCCTTTCTGGTCCCTCTCTAGTCTCTCTGGTCTCTCTCTCTCTCTGGTCCTTCTCTGGTCTCTCTATGGTCTCTTTCTGGTCTCACTCTGGTCCCTCTCCGGTCTCTCTCTCACTGGTCCCTAGGTCTCTCTCTGGTCTCTCTGGTGTCTCTCTGGTCTGTCATGTTATTTCATGATACCAATTTATCAGAAGCTGACAGCTTATTCTTTTTCTGTATCTACAGTATCATGAAATGACATGATAAATTGGTATCATGAAATAACATGATATTTATCATGTTATTTCATGAAAGTATCATGAAATAACATGATATTTATCATGTTATTACATGAAAGTATCATGAAATAACATGATAAATATCATGTTATTACATGAAAGTATCATGAAATAACATGATATTTATCATGTTATTACATGAAAGTATCAGGAAATAACATGATATTTATCATGTTATTACATGAAAGTATCAGGAAATAACATGATATTTATCATGTTATTTCATGAAAGTATCATGAAATAACATGATACCAGCGGGGAAAAAACACACTCACAAGTGAACCTAACAAGCTTCCGTAGTCTTCTATGTTTATTTTGCCATTCCCTTTTAGATTAAAAAAGATATTTTAAAAACAAAACACAGACCATGTTACTCGACACATTAGTTCTAAAAGTTAAAGTTAAAGTAAACGTGTACGGCCAGCTCTCTCCTCATCCATCTCTTTGTTCTTGAAAAGCTTTTAAACGTCCCGTAAACGTGTCGTGCCTTTGCTCCTGGACCCTGCGCTTCCTTTAATGCACTCCCGTCTCTGCGTCTCTTCACACCGATCACTTACCGAGATGAAAGCCCGAGTGTGACAGCCGTAAACCCGTCATGGACGCCGCTGAGATGGACGTTTTGGGGAACGGCGTGCGCTGCTGCGGCGTCTCTGGGCTGAACTCTGGCGTCCGTTGATGGGAGAGTGAAGTTTGAGGTTTGTTTTACGAGAGATGAAGTCTGCGGCTGTAAAAGGCCGTCAGACTGAGGCGCACTCCATTCAATCAGCGCCAGATTCATCATGACGCAAATAGCGCTCATTCTCTCAGGTCACGGCCTCACTTTGGGCTCTCTCTGGTCCCTCTTTCTCGTCTCTTTCTGGTCTCTGCGGTCTCTCTGTGGTTTCCCTAGTCTCTCTGATTCCTCTCTGATTCCTCTCTGGTCTCTCTCTGCATGGTCTCTCTCTGGTCTCTCTCTCTGGTCTCTCTCTGGTCTCTCTCTCTGGTCTCTCTCTCTGGTCTCTCTCTGGTCTCTCTCTCTGGTCTCTCTCTCTGGTCTCTCTCTCTGGTCTCTCTCTCTGGTCTCTCTCTGGTCTCTTTCTGGTCTCTCTCTCTGGTCTCTCTCTCTGGTCTCTCTCTCTGGTCTCTCTCTCTGGTCTCTCTCTGGTCTCTCTCTGGTCTCTCTCTCTGGTCTCTCTCTGGTCTCTCTCTGGTCTCTCTCTCTGGTCTCTCTCTCTGGTCTCTCTCTGGTCCTGGGTGCACTGTGTTATAACTAAAGTTCATTTTCACTTCTCTGATCTTTGCTTTTCTTCCACGGAGAGACATCAGCCGTGCACACTCTGCTGTTCACGTGCATGCTCCTGCCTCTTCTAGTGCACACTAACGGTCGCCGCGGTGATGGAGATGAGGCCTAATTAAAACCATATGAATATTCATGAGACACTTGTACCACAGCTAATTACATATTCAGAGCTGACAACTCTGTTTGCCTCCTCCACAACCAAGTCTGGAATAGGTCTGGACCAGGTCTGGAAAAGGTCTGGACCAGTTATGGAAAGTGGCTGTAAAGTGCCAAACTGTGGTTGTGTCCTTAGGCAAGACACTTCCCCCACATTAGAATGAGTCTGGTGTGTGTGTGAATGGTTGGTGGTGGTGGGAGGGGCCGATGGCACAGACTGGTTGCCTCGCCTCTGTCCGTGTGCCCCAGGGCAGCTGTGGCTACAGTAGTAGTTCATCACCACTGGGATTGAAATCAATAAAAAAAAAAGTGAAGCGTCTCTGAGAGTCTGAAAAGCATGAATAAAACAGAAGAATTATTATTATTATTATTATTATTATTATTATTATTATTAACTATTTTGGAGCCAGGAAGGAGAGACATGGAGTTTTGTTGTTGTGGTTTGAAAGTTACCACAGGCTGTGATTGGGAACAGAGCAGTCATCAGAACAAAGTCATCAGCTGTTCTCTTCATCCTGATTAACCTGACTTTTGCTGCTTTTGACCCCAGACCTTCAGCTCCAATTACAGCTGAACTATGCAGAGGACCCGACAGAGTGAGAGAGACAGGGCTCTCTCCATGGTCTCTCTCTCTCTCGCTTTCTGGTCTCTTGCCTCTCTGATCTCTCTCTCTCTCTCTCTCACTCTGGTCCCTCTCTCTACTCTCTCTGGTCTCTCTTTTCCGAGTCTCTCAGATCTCTCTCCGGTCTCTTTCTGGTCTCTAGTCTCTCTGATCTCTATCCTCTCTCTTACCCATGTGTGTGTGTGTGTGTGTGTGTGTGTATGACAAACAAAAGCCAGAGGTGAAAGCAAACGTTTTATTTTCTTAAATCATTTGAGAGTCAGAGGCGACTTATTCATACGATACAATCATTTTAGGTTAATTTGATGAATGACAGATTCCTTTATGGTTCCAGCGCTGAGTGCAGCAGGAGGAGAGAAAAGGGATGGGACTCAGTTAAGTTTTCCGTGGTTGTGGCTGTTTTGAGTCGGCCCTATTAGAAAATGTTCAAATCATTATCGCTCAAAATATTAGACATAAAACAAACACAAGTACTTACATTTAAAGTACAACCCAATCTCCAAAAGCCCCATCCTCACCACAGCCGTCACTACTATCACCGCCTTCTCCAACACCGCCACTAAGCTGCTACGGACACACAGGGAAGTATAAATGTAACTCATAGACTGCCATTGACTGGTGATTTCTGTCAAACTTCCTTCTATTGGACTGGGGATTACTGGAGAACAAAACTAGCTAAAAAACAACTTATTTTTGCTGATAAAAGTAGACGATCCAGTCTTTCAGAATCTGGTTTCATATTTAACACAGTCATTGCACACAATATTCTGTGGGTCTTGAAAGTCAGTGAAATCATCAAAAATTTAGTTAAAAGTCCATGTACGACTTTAATCCCACTTACAATGTGAAACTAAAATATGTCACTTTGTAATGAGTCTTTATCAGATTCACAATTATTTTTATGGCCTTTTTATTATAACTCACAAACTGGGACTTGGCTTTGGCTCAGGGTCCAAAGGGTCTACAGTACATAAGTAACTCAAAAGACATGGTCAGTGTTGAGTCAGTGATGGGTCAGTGTTGGGTCAGTGTTGAGTTAGTGTTGAGTCAGTGTTGAGTCAGTGTTGGGTCAGTGTTGAGTCAGTGTTGGGTCAGTAATGGGCCAGTGTTGAGTCCGTGTTGGGTCAGTGTTGGGTCAGTGTTGGGTCAGTGTTGAGTCAGTGTTGAGTCCGTGTTGGGTCAGTGTTGGGTCAGTGTTGAGTCAGTGTTGGGTCAGTAATGGGCCAGTGTTGAGTCCGTGTTGGGTCAGTGTTGGGTCAGTGTTGGGTCAGTGTTGAGTCAGTGTTGAGTCCGTGTTGGGTCAGTGTTGGGTCAGTGTTGAGTCAGTGTTGAGTCCGTGTTGAGTCAGTGTTGAGTCAGTGTTGGGTCAGTGTTGAGTTAGTGTTGGGTCAGTGTTGGGTCAGTGTTGGGTCAGAGATGGGTCAGTGTTGAGTCAGTGTTGGGTCAGTGATGGGTCAGTGTTGAGTTAGTGTTGGGTCAGTGTTGGGTCAGTGTTGGGTCAGTAATGGGTCAATGTTGAGTCAGTGTTGGGTCAGTGTTGGGTCAGTGATGGGCCAGTGTTGAGTCCGTGTTGGGTCAGTGTTGGGTCAGTGTTGGGTCAGTGTTGAGTCAGTGTTGAGTCCGTGTTGAGTCAGTGTTGAGTCAGTGTTGAGTCAGTGTTGGGTCAGTAATGGGCCAGTGTTGAGTCCGTGTTGGGTCAGTGTTGGGTCAGTGTTGGGTCAGTGTTGAGTCAGTGTTGAGTCCGTGTTGGGTCAGTGTTGGGTCAGTGTTGAGTCAGTGTTGAGTCCGTGTTGAGTCAGTGTTGGGTCAGTGTTGAGTTAGTGTTGGGTCAGTGTTGGGTCAGTGTTGGGTCAGTGTTGAGTCAGTGTTGGGTCAGTGTTGGGTCAGTGATGGGTCAGTGTTGAGTTAGTGTTGGGTCAGTGTTGGGTCAGTGTTGAGTCAGTGTTGGGTCAGTGTTGAGTCAGTGTTGAGTCAGTGTTGGGTCAGTGTTGAGTCAGTGATGGGTCCAGTGTTGGGTCAGTGATGGGTCAGTGTTGAGTCAGTGTTGGGTCAGTGTTGAGTCAGTGTTGGGTCAGTGTTGGGTCAGTGATGGGTCAGTGCTGAGTCAGTGTTGGGTCAGTGATGGGTCAGTGTTGAGTTAGTGTTGGGTCAGTGTTGGGTCAGTGTTGGGTCAGTGATGGGTCCGTGTTGAGTTAGTGTTGGGTCAGTGTTGGGTCAGTGATGGGTCAGTGTTGAGTCAGTGTTGGGTCAGTGATGGGTCAGTGTTGAGTCAGTGTTGGGTCAGTGTTGGGTCAGTGATGGGTCGGTGTTGAGTCAGTGTTGGGTCAGTGTTGGGTCAGCGATGGGTCAGTGTTGAGTCCGTGTTGGGTCAGTGTTGGGTCAGTGTTGAGTCCGTGTTGGGTCAGTGTTGGGTCAGTGTTGAGTCAGTGTTGGGTCAGTGATGGGTCAGTGTTGAGTCAGTGTTGAGTCAGTGTTGGGTCAGTGTTGAGTCAGTGTTGGGTCAGTGTTGGGTCAGTGTTGAGTCAGTGTTGGGTCAGTGTTGGGTCAGTGTTGGGTCAGTGATGGGTCAGTGTTGGGTCAGTGTTGGGTCAGTGTTGGGTCAGTGTTGGGTCAGTGATGGGTCAGTGTTGGGTCAGTGATGGGTCAGTGTGGAGTCAGTGTTGGGTCAGTGTTGGGTCAGTGCTGGGTCAGTGTTGGGTCAGTGATGGGTCAGTGTTGGGTCAGTGTTGGGTCAGTGTTGGGTCAGTGTTGAGTCAGTGTTGGGTCAGTGTTGAGTCAGTGTTGAGTCAGTGTTGGGTCAGTGCTGGGTCAGTGTTGGGTCAGTGATGGGTCAGTGTTGGGTGTTGATATGTCTCCAGTTTAGAGATAAATAAATGAAATGTTGATGTTCAGAGTTGCACTTGTTTCCTTGGATATATTAAAGACATGTTTAAATAACTTACAAGTTAAACAGCATGGTGCCTGGTGCTGGTACTTGTGCCTGGTGCTGGTGCCTGGTGCTGGTACTTGTGCCTGGTGCTGGTGCCTGGTGCTAGTGCCTGGTGCTGGTGCCTGGTGCTGGTGCCTGGTGCTGGTGCCTGGTGCTGGTGCCTAGTGCTAGTGCCAGGAGCTGGTGCCTGGTGCTGGTGCCTGGTGCTGGTGCCTGGTTTCTTCACAGAAACAGGTTCAGAGCTCAGACGAGGACAGAGAGTTCTGCTGGAGACTGCAGGACTCAAAATATAAGATTGATGTGTTCCTGTAGCTGTGGGCGTGAAATCCTGAAAGAAACGTTTGTTTTACTCAAACAGAAACTCTTCGGGGCATTGTCTGTTTTCACTTTCACCAGAGCCACAGAAGCATGATTTTCATTTATAACAGTGTTTTTGGTACAGTATATACCTATGGAAATGATCCAATACTGGTCGAAATAATGTGAGACGAGTACAGAGACTGTTTTGCGCTGGATGATTTTCTATTTTAAATTGAATTAAGTAAGTAATATTTTATTTATATAGCACACTTTTACAGACCAAGGTAACCCAAAGCACTTTGCATTGATCCGAAGGATCAGATATTGTTCCACGCTGAACACACTGCCGCACCTAAGCCCCAACCAACACTACTCTCTCATTTACATTCACACCTATTGTGCATGTTTTTAGTGGTAGGGAAACCGGAGCACCCAGAGGAAACCTACACAGACACAGAGAGGACATGCAAACTTCACTCAGAAAGGTCCTGTTCTGACCAGGATTCGAAACCCAGGACCTTCTTGCTGAGAAGCGAGAGTGCTATCCACTCAGCCACCGTGCAGCCCGGTTAACTTCATTTTTGTACAGCCTCACATCACAACAGCAGTTTTCCCGAATGTCCTTAAATGTCCTTAAATGTCCTCGGTGCCTCACATGGAGGAGAGTGACTTTGTTATTAAAGGCTGCAGAGTTTGATGTTTGAATCAGCTTCAGCTGCTGGTGTTTCATGTGTTTTAACCGCGTTTTTCAATCTTCACTGATCAAGGCGAGTTTATGCAGAGTTTTCTGTATCACAGAGTTTAAACACAAGGAAGCTGCAAGTGCTGAACAAAACAAGAAAAGAAACATGATAATAACACAAAGCATTAACATACTTAACTAGAAACTTGCAATGGCTGAAGCCATTGCGATTGACTGCGGAACAGATCTAATGTGGAAATCTGCTAAAAAAAATCCTTGAAATCCTTTAAAAAGCCTTGAAACTGTTAAAATACTTGATAGATATTTGAAACTCCTGAAGTCCTTGAAATTGTTGAAACCTTTAAACTCCTGAAATCCTTGAAACTGTTGAAACATTGAAACTCCTGAAATCCTTGAAACTTTTTTAAACCTGGAAACTGTTGAAAGTGTGGAAACTCCTGAAATCCTTGAACCTCCTGATATCCTTGAAACTGGTTAAATTCTTAAACAGCTGAAATCCTTGAAACTACTGAATGTATTGAAAGTGTCCTTGAAACTGAAAAATCCCCTCACCGCTGAAACAATTTGGTTCCTGTAACTAAGGAAACCTGGTCTGTGGTCATTATCTGGTGGTGGTCTGAGTCTTCGTTTGGGTCTTGGTCTGGTGGTATAATGCAACCTATTAGGTTGCATTATACATGAAAAAACCCTATTAAGTTGCATTATACTGGTTTACATGAAAAAAACCCTATTAAGTTGCATTATACTGGTTAACATGAAAAAAACCCTATTAAGTTGCATTATACTGGTTTACATGGAAAAATCCCTATTAAGTTGCATAATACTGGTTTACATGGAAAAATCCCCATTAAGTTGCATTATACTGGTTTACATGAAAAAAACCCTATTAAGTTGCATTATACTGGTTTACATGAAAAAAAACCCTATTAAGTTGCATTATACTGGTTTACATGAAAAAACCCTATTAAGTTGCATTATACTGGTTTACATGGAAAAATCCCTATTAAGTTGCATTATACTGGTTTACATGGAAAAATCCCTATTAGGTTGCATGATTACACTGAAGTCCTTGAAACTGCTGAAGTCCTTGAAACTGCTGAAGTCCTTGAAACTGCTGAAGTCCTTGAAACTGTTGAAGTCCTTGAAACTCTTGAAATCTTGAAACTGCTGAAATCCTTGAAACTGTTGAATCCTTGAAACTGTTGAATCATTGAAACTGTAGAAATGTCTGAAAGAGCTGAAGTCCTATTAAAATGCATGGGCCTATTAAAATGCATTGCAGAATTCTCAATGCAGATTTTTGTCCGATTGCGGAAAAACCGGAAATCGCTGAAGTCCCAAAAGTAATAGCAATAATCTCCCAAACATGTGGAACGTTTTGATGTATAACTTGTGGAAATTGTTGAAAATGTGAAAGCTGTGAAACGTGTCAAAAAAAATGACGGAATAAAGAAATACAAAACCAATGGTTGACTGCGGAAGGTTCCGCAGTCAATCAATAATCCCAGTGCATTAAAAGAGTGTGGAAATACAGGCTTTGAACCTAAGATTTAAATGTTTGTGTAGATATTTTTTCTTACACCGCGGCCCCTGGACTCTGTGGTACTAGCACTTTGGGGTCAAATTGTAGTGGTCATTAAACGCCATCATGAAGTTCAAACACCACAGCGGTCAGGGAGGAAGCATAACTATTATATTTCTAATATTTCCAAAGCGTTCAACATCTCACAGAGTATGGCACAACTGCAAATCCACCAAGACTCGGCCGTCTGCCCAAACTCACAGCTCCAACAGGGATAACACTGATCACAGACGCAGACATCTGGGGGAGTTTGTTCATGGAATCATTCATACACGACACATGTTCTGTTTTGCATAATTGATTGACTGCGGAACCTTCCGCAGTCAACCATTGGTTTTGTATTTCTTTATTCCGTCATTTTTTTTGACACGTTTCACAGCTTTCACATTTTCAACAATTTCCACAAGTTATACATCAAAACGTTCCACATGTTTGGGAGATTATTGCTATTACTTTTGGGACTTCAGCGATTTCCGGTTTTTCCGCAATCGGACAAAAATCTGCATTGAGAATTCTGCAATGCATTTTAATAGGCCCATGCATTTTAATAGGACTTCAGCTCTTTCAGACATTTCTACAGTTTCAATGATTCAACAGTTTCAAGGATTCAACAGTTTCAAGGATTTCAGCAGTTTCAAGATTTCAAGAGTTTCAAGGACTTCAACAGTTTCAAGGACTTCAGCAGTTTCAAGGACTTCAGCAGTTTCAAGGACTTCAGCAGTTTCAAGGACTTCAGTGTAATCATGCAACCTAATAGGGATTTTTCCATGTAAACCAGTATAATGCAACTTAATAGGGTTTTTTCATGTAAACCAGTATAATGCAACTTAATAGGGTTTTTTTTCATGTAAACCAGTATAATGCAACTTAATGGGGATTTTTCCATGTAAACCAGTATAATGCAACTTAATAGGGTTTTTTACATGTAAACCAGTATAATGCAACTTAATAGGGTTTTTTCCATGTAAACCAGTATAATGCAACTTAATAGGGATTTTTCCATGTAAACCAGTATAATGCAACTTAATAGGGTTTTTTTCATGTAAACCAGTATAATGCAACTTAATAGGGTTTTTTTTCATGTAAACCAGTATAATGCAACTTAATAGGGGTTTTTCCATGTAAACCAGTATAATGCAACTTAATAGGGTTTTTTTCATGTAAACCAGTATAATGCAACTTAATGGGGATTTTTCCATGTAAACCAGTATTATGCAACTTAATAGGGATTTTTCCATGTAAACCAGTATAATGCAACTTAATAGGGTTTTTTTCATGTTAACCAGTATAATGCAACTTAATAGGGTTTTTTTCATGTAAACCAGTATAATGCAACTTAATAGGGTTTTTTCATGTATAATGCAACCTAATAGGTTGCATTATACCACCAGACCAAGACCCAAACGAAGACTCAGACCACCACCAGATAATGACCACAGACCAGGTTTCCTTAGTTACAGGAACCAAATTGTTTCAGCGGTGAGGGGATTTTTCAGTTTCAAGGACACTTTCAATACATTCAGTAGTTTCAAGGATTTCAGCTGTTTAAGAATTTAACCAGTTTCAAGGATATCAGGAGGTTCAAGGATTTCAGGAGTTTCCACACTTTCAACAGTTTCCAGGTTTAAAAAGTTTCAAGGATTTCAGGAGTTTCAATGTTTCAACAGTTTCAAGGATTTCAGGAGTTTAAAGGTTTCAACAATTTCAAGGACTTCAGGAGTTTCAAATATCTATCAAGTATTTTAACAGTTTCAAGGCTTTTTAAAGGATTTCAAGGATTTTTTTTAGCAGATTTCCACATTAGATCTGTTCCGCAGTCAATCGCAATGGCTTCAGCCATTGCAAGTTTCTAGTTAGTATTGTTTATTAGTTTAAAGGTTTATTTTGCTAGTGTACAGTGCCATCTGATGGACAAACTAGTTTATGTTGATTTATTTTTAGAGAATTAAAAAAATATATACATCGTTGGTTTGACTAGTTTATCTGAAGAACACAGCTTTCAAAATGGTGTTTAATAAGACTTCTCCAGTGCTTTCAACTCCATCAGACCGGCACTGCAGCGGGCGAAGGCAGTAGCCTCACTGCATGGACCATCAACTACCTCACTGCATGGACCATCAACTACCTCACTGCATGAACCATCAACTACCTCACTGCATGGACCATCAACTACCTCACTGCATGGACCATCAACTACCTCACTGCATGGACCATCAACTACCTCACTGCATGAACCATCAACTACCTCACTGCATGGACCATCAACTACCTCACTGCATGGACCATCAACTACCTCACTGCATGGACCATCA